TTTGGTAACTTGGTACAAGAATGGAAACACAATAAACTCTAGTTTTACTCTTGCCTAATTGACTTGATTTACTTCCTTAACACTCCTCCATGTCATTAACACGTCCTCCATACGCCTCGGCATCACCCAATCCATATGCTGCAACACCAAGATATCGTTCCACAAGAAATGAGCAACATCACAATGGAGAAATAAGTGATCAATCGTCTCCCCATCCCCCTTACACATATAACACCACTCGATAACATAAAAACCCCTAATGCGAAACAACACGAGCATCTAATAAAGCCTGATCCACAAGAATACTTAGCACAATAGTAAAAATGAGAGTTTGTATAGGAGGCAGCCTAATGTGCAATATAATGTAAACCAAATAAGCAACTAGTTGTATGTTACCATACCCTTTTTTAACCAGACCTTCCAATGACCCATGGGATAGGGATCCTACTTAGATATAATAGTATATAAAGACTTTCCAAGTTTAGATTCTTATTTTTGGAAACATATTTATGGTTTAGTTTTTTACATTTTCTAGTATTTTATGTTTTGGTTCTTTTTCTTTGGCAGGGTATCCTAAACAAGGGTGTAATACCCCAGAACGTTTAAGCCTTCTACGTTCTTAATGTAGTATAAATACTCGATATGTTATATTATATTATAAAAAAACAGTATTGTTCTTCATAAAATGTCAATGACTAAATTAAACTTTATGTTCGAGGACCAAATAGCAAATATGTGAAATTCTCAAGTTGAAATCAAATAGGCTCCAGAAAGTCATAATGAGTATGATTCGAAGAATATAAGCCTTGGAAAATCATTTCAATTTTTTTTCGAAAAATTCGATTGTTTCGAGTACAAAGAGCAAAATCACCATTCCCGTCGAAGGAGTAAAATAAATTTTAAAAATCTTAAATAATATCTGTAGTGTGGCATATGCACATTGAAAATTACTTTTGATTGTTTTGAGTTTGTAATTTTTTGTACAATCTAGGTCAGTTCAAACAGTTCAAGTTAATTTGAGTTTGCAGACTATAAGATACGAAAAATGAAAGAGAAAAATAAGGTTTTCAACAGTTCAAGTTTCGTATTTTTCTGACAATGGTAAGAAGGTCAACGTTGGGATTTCAGTATTTCTTCATGGCTTGATGCGGTTAAGGGGCTATTTAGTAAATTTTTCAGCTGAAATGAGGGTTGGATTTCTGAGTTTATGAAGAGTCAGGTATGAAAGGTCACGGTTGGAAAGTTTTTAGTAGGAAAATTAAAGGGTGGGAGTGGTGGATTTCACCTTAACGCATATAAGTGATTCTAATTTCTTATTCACCTTATTTCACTTATGTTGAGAATTCAAAGCAAGAAAATCATTTTCATCTCTCTCTAAATTTCCAGCCATCACCATATTTCTTTCACTCTCTTCGCGTTTCTTTTTAATATTTCAAAATAAACCAATCATACACTAAGGTAATTATGTCAAAGGCTTAAAAACAGAAGGAAGGTAGTGTTGGAAACAAGAATATCCTCACTTCTATTTTCAAGTTCAAAGTAATTTTCAAGTTATCAAGGTAAGATACTCTATATGAGCAAAGTAGAAGAAGTTCATTTTTATGTTAGTATTTTTCATAAATTAGCGATTAGCTTGATCAATGGGTCTTCCATGATATAATATGATGTTAGTCCTATGGGATTAACCCCTAAAAGATATGAGTTGAGATTTCCGTTTTTTCCTACGTTGGCACCAAAGAGGTATGAAATGCTATATTTATGTTTATATTACATAATTAAACTTGTGCCATATCTTACTAAGTATTTCAGATATATTCTTATTCCATCAAGTTTTATAAATTTTATATTGAAAAAACTGTTGGATGGTGGTGTCAAGAAATATAAATTGTATTATATTGACTTGATATTATTACAATGTAGAAGATCCTATTTAT